GTACCTTTAATTTAATCTTAAAGAGTAAAATAGTTAATATTATAAGCTATAGTAGCTTTATTTATAGAAACTCTATTTATAACTATTTAAAAAGTAGTACTTATATTTTTTTAGTAAATTTTATTATTTTAAATTAATTAATATAGTTTATAAGTTTTTATAATTAAAATTAGTAAAGTTATAAGTTTTTAAAGATATTATAAATTAGGTAGTTAGGTTAAAAAGCGGGTAGCCGGTTTCTGGGGGTGGCCAGTTTCCCCGTATCCGACGTTAGTATCCGTGTCGGTCCGTTCGTACCCGGTCTGGTCCGTTAGCTCACGGGGCCGCTCTAAATGCATCAGCCTGCGAGGCAACAACGACTGCTTGCAGGCCTGCAACCCCGATAGCTCAGGAGGACCTGCCAGACCTAAATACATGCTACAATTACAGTGTGATGGTCAGGTCTGCCGAGTCGGCGCCGACCATCGGCCTTTGGACAGTGGCCATCGTTGAACGGAGAGGGGAAATTGTATATAAAACACGAATAATAGTTTGATCAACTCAGCTCAAATAACATCAAACAAACAACAGAACAATATTCATCAGTCAAACCTCTTGAACCTTACAATTCAAACCTCAAGTAAGTCGCCAACATGTCTAAGTCCATCGTCAATACCAAACCCTACCCTTTCCACTTCGAGGCAAGCGAGTTTCCCGCCATCAAGCCCAATGGAAAAGGAGTGACGGTAGACTACACCAACTGTCGGGGTGCAAGGCCCTCCCTGCAAGCTTCCAAGCTCAGGGCCATGGTGCAAGAGGCGCACAGCGATCCCTCCAAAATTCTCGCCAATGTGTGCAGCTACGACGCCTTGAGCTCCCGCTTATGCGAGGAGGCTGGGTTTCCTGTTGTCTTTCTGGCCGGGTACCCTATGGCGTCTGCATTTGGACTGCCTGATACAGGGTACATTGCTTTTGGAGAGGTTGTCAACAAGATTCAAGAGGTTTCTAGGGAGGTCAATGTTCCTATTCTGGTAGATGGCGATACTGGGTATGGAAGCCCAATGAATGTTCGCCGAACTGTGCAAGGGTATGTTCTAGTCTGGCACAAACGAAGAACTAGATGACAACTAACTCGATGAACAGATTTGCACAGGCTGGAGCTGCTGGGATCATGCTCGAGGACCAATCGTGGCCAAAGCGTACGTCAAGCCACCCTCACAAAGTGATCACTGTACTAAAATTCAGTGGACAGGCTGTGGCCACACTGCTGGCAAAAGCGTAGTGTCCCGAAGTGAAGCTTACGCTCGCTGGCAAGCTGCTGTCGACGCTAGGAACGAAGGCCTGGACATCTGGATCCTCGCTCGTACGGACAGTCTGATTCACGGTTACGACGAGGCACTTACCAGGGCACGCAAAGCCATCGAGATCGGAGTTGATGCTGTTTTCGTTGAAGCCCTTCCTGATTGTGAGTCCATGGAACGTCTTCGTAAAGACCTCGACTTCCCTCTCGTCGCCAACATCATTGAGGGCGGCAAAACGCAGAATCTCTCAGCAAAGGACCTTGCGGAGCTTGGCTACAGCATTGTCTGTTATCCTTGGACTCTTGTCGCTGCTAAGCTGAAGAGCATAAGGGAGACACTAGAGAATATCAAGGGCTCTATGACGGTTGGGAAGCCTCCTGTTGTTCTTTCGTATGACGAGGTTTGTGAGGGTGTTGGCTTTAATAAGTACTATCAGATTGAGGAGAAATATCAATATGAGGGAAGGGCTAATGGAGCGAACGGTCACCAGTGGAAGGATTAGACACTGGGGTCAACAGACGTTGGTTATCTATACATTACAGGGAGATGATTCACTAAGAAACTCACAAAGAATCTATAGTATCCTTCTGCCTATGTCTTCTACTATATCTTATAGTCATATCTAGTTCAGTAGTAGCGGTAGGTGTTGTTTGAAGTCAAGGCAACTGTCGCCCGACCTGCCATTCCCTGAATCCGTGCCTTGGCCGCTTGGGCGTTAATCTTGTCCGCACTAGCCTTGCGACACCGTGCACAAGCTTCGTCGACTCGGCGCGTCACTTCTGGTGGGCATGTGGGGGGTAGAAGATGGCGCGGAACAGGGCCTTTTTCAGGCCAAACGCCATAATAACGCAATGCGGCGTTTATATCACCTAAGTGATCATCGGGGTCGCTTACGAACTCGACGGCCATGTAGTCAGTGAACCCCTTCAAGGTTAGGAGCGGCATTCCGCCATAAGGCATTTGCTTGTTTGCTGGGTTGCGGACCACCTTCTTATGATCGAATTCAAAGCCCTCAAGGGTCCATAAAAATTCAGCGTCTGCTACATCCTCGGCTGCGTACATCCATTTAGCCTCATAGGATCGTTTCCCTGAATTCTCATGTCAGCGTCTCGTGGTATCAGCAACTGACCGGGCCCTTATAGCATATTTATCTTCTATCTCATTTGTTTTTATCAAGCTGGTGCGAATGCTACGATAACAGAAGAAGCTACAGAACAATAATTGAGACAGTGGCTAGCCGATAAACGTACAGATATTTAATTCTGGCAGATACTGGCATACGTCCAGAAAGCTACTGAAAGCTTCTGGAGTAATAGAGCCAGTATTTTGAGGATCAAGCCTGCGAAAGAATTCCCACATCATTGTTTCAAAGATGGGCGTTGGTTTTCCGTTCGTGTAGAAAAAGTGTTCGTTCCAACTAGAAGGTTGGCTTGGTAGCGGGGGGGTCGGTAATCCAGGCTGCACAAATCTCGGATCATTCGGGAGATAACCATGAGGCGACTGACGAGGGACATACATCAACTGCTGCGGGGGTGGATACTGTGAAGGAGGGGGGTAGTACTGCTGTTGCGGTTGCTGTTGTTGTTGGTGTAGTGGAATTTCATAGCCAGGAGGTCTTGGGGGGATAGGCGGTGGTGTGTCCATTCTGAAAATACAAGGCCTTTGTTTGTCTCTGGGACTTGGGAAGTTGTCTGATCAGGGATTGCTAGCCATGAGGGTCCGGGCCGCGCCACTTTATATCAATAGTTGTAGCCCACCATCCGCGGAATCTACAGTGGAACGGAACTCGAGTAAATGCCTATCTAGTTATCAACATGGAAGCTGACGTGGAGGGGCAGCGACAGCCAGCCAATTGGTCCGCATGTCTGTTCAGCCGCCGCATGGCGCTAAAGAACTACACGGCTACACCGCACTTTGCTCTTGATTTGGTTCTTTGTTTAGGGACTATTCCCTAGACTGTCCGAAGGGAACATTTAAGTAATTAAGGTCAACAACGGAATTAGGCAATATTCTAGTGCTATTCCATTAAATAAAAGAAATAAAATAAGTAGAAAAGTAAAGTAAATATAAATATGCCCTTTAGACTGTCTAGAAGATAAGGGGCCAAAGAGTTTCTTAAGTTATGCAAAAGAGTGGTTGTTCAGGTGGGCGGGGTTCTGTTACTTTTAGGTAGCACAACGCTCTCAAGACTTAATTGATCCTGTGTATAAGAAAGTTATAATAAACTTACTAAATGAGCTCTAGAGAGAATCTTATTTCTTAGGGTTAGTTTGTCTTTACTATAGTATATTCTTAATATATCCCGAACTACCCTATTGTTGACGTCACTGCTTGGCGATAGCGAAGGCGACTTGCTTTACCCAATTACTTGTCCTCCATTTAATAGAGGCCACTTATTAGCTGAGTGCACGCCGCCCCGCGTCTTAGCTACTGCAAGGGCATTTCAGCCGATTCCCAATCACAACAACGAGCTGCGATATTGTCGGCCGGAGCCTTTGGTGGAGTATGGGGAATGGCGCTAAGACCGGGTAAGGGCGGACCGCCATGTTACAATTAACTGAGGGGAATGGCAAAGGTCAGCATCACTCCAGGCTGGGCTTGTTTTGGAATTCTGTATCCTCGGTTGAGATTCCGATGTCGGACGCTTCTTCCCTTCATTGAAATGGCCCTTGGGCTATTTAATTGTGAGTCTTGTGATGTTAGATGATCTCAACCAAGCAACTCTAAGTCACCACCATGCCTCTCATTAAAGATCACCTATCGTTCCGAATAGCCCTCCTACCAGGGGATGCACATGGCTCACAACTTGCATCATGCGCTGAACAACTTGTGAATTTAATCGAACACATTCGTCCAGATATCGCATTCCAGATATCCCGACATGATTTCGGAGGCGTAGCGTTAGCAGCAGGCCACCAAAGCGCCCTGCCAACCTCCACTCTAGAAGCATGCCGCCAGTCTGATGCTGCAGTCGTGTGTGCATGTGGTGACCTTAAGTACGGCATTCAGCCAGAACAGGGACTGCTGGCGCTTCGACAAGAACTCGGACTCTTTGCCAATATCAGACCTGTAAAGTTTCCGTCTGACTCGCTTATACCACTGAGTTCTTATAAGCCGGAGGCAGTTGAGGGTCTTGACATAACATTTTTCCAAGACTTGACGGGTGGTGCCTACTATGGGGAGAAGCAAGAAGCGGGAGAGAACGGTGAAGCATATGACACCACTAGCTACTCTCGTTCTGCCATTGAGAAACTGGCGAGGCTGGCTGGTACGTATGCAATGCAGTTCAACCCACCAAAGCGAGTTCACTCGGTCGACAAAGCCAATGTCATGGCGACTTCACGATTATGGAGATCTGTTGTCATCGACGTCTTCAGTCATGAGTACCCTCAAGTGCAGCTGGACCACATTCTGGTTGACAACGCAGCTATGGTCTTGTCATCAAAACCACAGGACCTGAACGGTATAATCCTGATGGAGAACATGTTTGGAGATATCCTGTCAGATCAAGCTAGTGGTATACTCAAGTCTCCAGATGTTCTGGCATCAGCAGCTGTGTCTACCATCTATGGTAATGGCAAAGCACCTGGTGTCTTTGAGCCATTCAACCTCAAGCCAAGAGAAAGTGAAGTGAATCCGCTTGGTATTATCCAAGCCGTCGGGTTGATGCTTGAGCTGTCCCTGGGCCTGAAGTCAGAGGCTGCGGCCTTATCAAAAGCTATCCGACGAACTCTTGATCCTATCGACCAAGTTGGATCGGACACGAGGACGACCGACCTGGGTGGAACAGCATCACCACAGGAGTTCATGGAGACCCTCTTGCATAATTTTGACTACTATTTGGAGGCTCTGAACTCAGCCGACGCTGCAGCTCTCCCGGTATTCATTTCTCCACCTTCATCGCCAGGGCTCACCACGGATATCCGACCCATGGGAGTCATCGAGAAGATCTTGACACATGCTGGCATAGGCCTCAGCAAACCATACGTCGAGACGGGAGACATGATCTGTGTAAAAGTCGATTGGACGCTAACATCCGAGCTCCTCTGGGGCGGTATGGAAAAGACCTACAACCAAATGGGACGACCCCGGCCATTTCGTAATGATCGTCTCTGGCTTGCCGTGGACCATACCGTTGACCCACGCACAAACCATCAACCTCGACAAAAGGGTCTGATCGCTAAAGCCGAGCGTTTCAGACGAGAGGCCAAAATTATTGACTTTCTTCCTGCCAATACGAGCATTATGCATACTGATTTTACTCGTGAGCGTGCTCAGCCTGGTCGTGTCGTTGTTGGGAGCGACTCGCATACGTGTTCAGCGGGAAGCATGGGTTCCTTCGCTGTTGGCTTTGGAGCAGCCGATGTTGTCATGCCAATGGTCACCGGCGAAACTTGGTTTCGTGTACCTGAAGTTTGTAGGATCAACTTCGTGGGAAAGCTGCCTTTTGGTGTCGGTGGAAAGGACGTTATTCTTCATATACTCGGACTCTTCAAGCGCAACACTATTGCCTTTCAGCGAGCTGTTGAGTACGGCGGCCCGGGTCTCAAAGAGTTATCTATGGATGCTCGCTTCGCCATCGCCAACATGACGACCGAGTTTGGGGGCATGGGCACTTGTTTCGAGGCTGACGAAGAGACTTCGGCATGGATCGCACGTCGAAAACTCCCGGAGCACCGCGAAGGTGGCCTCTTCTTCCAAGCCGACCCAGACGCTCAATATGTCGATATAAAGACTATTGACCTCGCGGAAGTCCGTCTCACGATGGCGCTGCATCCGAATCCGGACGATGTTGTTCCGATCCATGAAAATGTCGGCATGAAGCTAGATGGATGCTTCATCGGTGCCTGCACAACAACAGAAGAGGACCTCATCGTCGGCGCTTTGGTCCTTGAGGCTGGCCTGTATGCAGGTATGCGACCATCTCGACACGGAAAACGCCGCGTCACGCCAGGAAGTCTAATCATCATCAAGAACCTTGACAAGCATGGTCTACTAGATATTTACAGACAAGCTGGCTTTGAAGTTGGCGCCCCTGGCTGCTCCTACTGTGTTGGGATCAATGATGTTGATGTTGCTGGCGAGGGAGAGGTTTGGCTGTCCTCTCAAAATCGCAACTTTAGAAACCGAATGGGCAAGGGAAGTTTTGGCAACATCACTTGCGCAGCTGCTGTAGCTGCCTCGAGCTTCGACATGGTAGTCACGGATCCCAAGTTTCTGCTTGATCAGTTGGATAGTGCAAAACTTGAGCGGCTTGTTAGTGGAGGTAGGTCAAGCGGACCTCAACCATCGTTGCGGATTAGTGAGCCGGCGCCTGAGATATCTTCAGAGTCCGTACCTGTTCTCCTCAGCAGCAGCGAATCTGATGTCAGGGCAACTACTCCAAGGATCATTCGATCAAAGCTGCAGCGATTCGGAGAGAATGTTGATACGTAAGCTGAACGAGATACGAATTCGAAGGACCTTGACTGAAAAGTACAGTGATGCAATTATCCCTGCTGAGTTTATGCCAGGAGTGGACAATGCCGATCTCGGAAGCCATTGTTTCCAGTACTTCCGTCCCGAGTTCAGGGACAAGGTAAAAAATGGTTCAACTGTCATGTAAGCTTCGTCCCACTCTTTTCTTTTGACGAACGCTAATATGGCAAAGTGTTGCCGAACATGGCTTTGGCAGTGGATCTTCACGTGAGGACGCCGTGAGAGCCCTTCAGGGAGCAGGTGTCGAGGCAGTAATAGCAAGGGGATTCGCCTTTATCTGTACGTTCCTAAGCCGTAACGACGAAAAGCCATGGCTGACATATCTAGATGAGAGAAACCAACTTAACATGGGATTATTCAGCATCAAGCTCCAAGACCCGAGGTTCTACGAGCTTGCGCTGGAAGGCTCTGTCATCACCATCAACAAAGATAGCAAGACCATTCAAATTGAAGGCTCAGATACGGTCTTTCACTATCTGCAGTCAGAAGTTGAGGAAGCTCTTATCGAGTCTGGCGGCGTCCTTCCATTGTATAGCAAGCTTGGGAAAGGAGTATTTCGACATCTGACGGCTCCTAAAGCCAAGGGAGGAAAGAGAGTTGGACATGGCAATGTTCCTGGTTCTGTGAGTAGCAGAGCAAGTACAGATATATCATGGTAGATGTCGAATGCAGTATTTGTTGTTGTCATCGTATTGGTGTATTTTCTCATGTGCGCTAAATTTTCTTTACTGCCATGACGTCCATCCCATAGACTGAACCTGAAAAGTCGCTGTTATCATACGATCCCACCGACTCCAATCTCTATGGTCCAGAAACCACATCCAAACACCTTGATCCTCATACCGTTGGACCTTAGACTTTTTCGTGGCCGACACGTGTGTGATTTTGAGAGGTGTCTGCGGCCCCCGTATTTCCAGTTCACCAAGCTCATAGTCATCCGCTGTCAATGCTGGATCAAACTCAACGACGTCGACGTATTGCTGTTGGTCTTTGAACTTCCACTCAGGGTCCTTGCACACGAATATGACGCCATGATAGGGAAGATTCAAGCTCCTTTGTGATGAAATAAGGCCGGGGAGCTTGCCGTGGGGCTCCTGTTCCGCCGCATGTTGGGCATCTTCTTCCTTGTCCTCCCAGTCTTCATAGGCCTTTCCAGCTTGTCGAACCTGCTCAGACACATCACCACGAGCCTTGAGTTCGTCCCGGTAATGTTGGGCACAGTCCGTTTCGCTGGCCCCAGGGATATGGAACATTTCGAATCGAATGGGATCGCCATCCCTCCGGATGTCTGTTAAGAATTGCCACATTTCCAAATCATCTAGAGAGAATTCTGGATGGACAAGATAGAAGGATAGGCTTGGCAGTGGTATTAGGATATTTCGTGACGGGTTGCTCCAGACTATCTTCGCTGGCCGACCTGCGTGATCGGCAAAGTTGAAAACATGTTGCTTGAGTGCAGAAGACTTGAGTCTACCCATTGTAAGTAGGCTATTGGCGGTATACTATGATCACATAGGTGATATTTGCTTTGAATTGAGTTAGCGGTGACTATAAAGAGCAGTGCGATAGCTTTATAATTGGGTCTAGTCACATGATGAGCCAGCAGACAGCAAATAGAATAGTAATGAAAATTTTGAATCAAACTAATCTTAAGTTAACCTTGTCTAACTCAAATGTTCTCAGCATGAATGGCGTTGTGTTTCTCCTCGTCATGAGCATTTCGGATCCGTTCAGCCAATGCCACAGCATTTCTGGGCATATTCCTCTCAGTCTTGACTGGGTCCCAGATGCTCTTTGACTGGATAAAAATGTCATCAATCTCCTCCAAAGTACGGCCCTTAGTTTCTGGATAAAAGAGCAAGATGACGATAAAGGTGAAGAGGGTGATACAGGCATATACAATGTAGTACCTGTATCCAATGTTCTTCAAGGCATGAGGGGAAACTTCAGCCACAAGGAAGTTGAACAGCCAGTTGGCGCAGGCACTAATGGCGGTAATCTGGGCACGGATGCTCAGGGGTGATATTTCGGCAGCATACATAAAAGGGAGAAGGAAGAGACCGACAGGGAAGAAGAACATAGCCACAAAGTAAAAGAAGATGGCAGCTTCACTCGCAGACTTGTTGGTCAGGTCAGACATGAGACCCGCCAGCGAAGTCTGAGCAACGCACATGCCCAGAGCACCAGCCATGAGCAGCTTGCGGCGGCCAAAGCGGTCAATAAGAACAAGGGCAAAGCCAGCAGCGATGAACTGCCAGACTTGTAAGCTTGCAGAGAAGATGCGAGATTCCGTGGGCGAGTAGTTGAGCTGCTGCTGGAAGATGGTTGTCGAATAAAAGGTGACGATGTTGATCCCTGACATCTGAGCGAGAATGGCGAGGCCGACAGCAAGGACTGCGCGATGAAACTGGCGCTCGAGCCCCATGGTGAATACAGACACCTTCTGGTTCTGCTCCTCGATATAAGCATCGCGAATGAGGGAAAGCTCCTCGTGGATGACCTCGGAGTCATCGGGGAGGTCCTCAAGGGCAGCCATGACCAGCACCGCTTCCTCGAAGCGATCTTGCTTGATGAGCCATCGAGGAGACTCTGGTAGAAACATGACGAAGGATGTGATGATGATGGCGAACAAGCCCTGGAAGGCGATAGGGAAGCGAAAATTGACTTGGTTGTCTTTGATGAAATAGAGGCCAAATTCCATCCACGATGCAACTACAATTCCGCCAATGGCAAAGAAACCTTGAAGAAGGACTCGGCGACCACGTTCCTTGGCACTGGAGCACTCCGACACCCACATGGGGATCGTAGCGGTCAAAGCACCAACCCCGAGACCTGTGATGACTCTTGATGCGATGAGCTGTCCAAGGGAGAACGAGCTGCTCTGTATCGCGACACCAACAATCACGATGCAGCCCGCAATGAAGATTGTTCGACGTCGACCGAGAATGTCGCCGAGAAAGGCACAAGACAGGGCTCCGATGGCGCAGCCAACTTCATAAATCGCCACAGCCGTGCCTGAAAGAAAATCACAAAGCCAATCAGCGGCCATAGGGAGAAAGCGGAGGTATAGTCGAAGCGTGCTCACCTTCGATGTTGGAGTTCTTGATCTGAGGAAACTGGTGCTTGAACGTATCAAGGGTCAACAGACCGTTCATGACAGCTTGATCATAGCCTTGAAGAGCAAAGGCCGTCGCTGCTACTATACTCAGCAAGGTGGTAAGAGGTTTCCCCCGAAGACCAAAGTAAGACATGATAGCCTTGTTGGAGATGGTCGGAAAGAAGCGTAGACAGGAATAAGCAATACGAGTTAGAGTCTACAAGCAAGATGGAGAGGCAAGTTCTCTTTTACTTGTTTCCTGTTTCTCAATTTCTCAGAGCAATTTACACCAACGTAAGAATAAAGCGCAGGGCTACGTCGGTATAAGAGCACTACCCCAGGTCCTCGGAGACCCCGCAATGGAATGGCAAAATCCGGAGAAGTGAATCTAACACTCTACCCCACAGTTGGCATTTTTGGGGCTACGATAATGGACCCCATATGCCGTTATTGCCGCGTTGTTGTGAGTGCCGCGTGGTCCCGGTTATTGCGGCAAGAACCTAGACTCATAAAACATGTCTTTTCATAGGGAGGATGAATACTTATCCTTGTCAAAACTTAAACCAACTATGTAACTCAGATGATCCTCGACTCATGTCATTCAATTGGGTAAAGTGCTTATCTTGAACTTGCATTATTATACAGACTCTGCGGGGTCTTCTTCTCCAACGCTACGTTATTGCCCATGGATTTAGCCCTGAAGTGCGTTTGTCGAGCCGTATAGCCGTTTGATAGCTGGATATATTGATTCCCGCGGGAGCGCAGTTCCATCTCAGAATTACGTTGACTAATTCCTATACGTTGAAATCCAACTTTCCCACTTTTCCTAGCCCCCGAAAACTTCATCTTACAGCTTTCATTATCCATCACTTCTCCGTGGCTTCCGCGTTCTCACTCTGCATCAGACGCTGTGTAGCAGTCTCAATTGTATTGAATTACTAAGCCTTGATCTTACGTTCAAATAGTCCATCAAGTTCGGTAGGTGATCGACTACAAAGAAATCAGTATTGGCCACAACTTCAAGGCATTTAACGTGACTTACTGAGATATCTCTAGAACCAACAGTTACATGCCAATGGCCCAAGGAAACAGGCAGTTGAATTGATTTAAAGCAGTTTAATAGCCGTACTTAGGGCCATCTTATATAAAAATCCATTAATAAGTATGGACCCTGAACTTGAATCCTCGCTCCTATTGGGGCTAACAAAACTAACGCTTAGCGCACTTAAATCCCGCTGTCTAGCCGCCTGCGGTACATGGTTATGAGGTTCTAATTGGGCAAGTTTCGTGAGCTGCATGCCCGGCGAGCTTTCCGACAGGTTTTATCCCAGAGGCTTCAGGGTAGCATACAGCGATAAGCATGTCCTTTGGAACGCCATGAATGGCCAACTTGGTAGGGCTCGAGATCTCATATTGTGAACAGACTTCCCCAAGCCTAATGATCTCGATTGTGGACTTCCTTGGCAGCACACTTGACTTGACTTCGATCGAAATTGTCGTCGCAACGGTAGTTGTCCCGTTACTTATTGAGCATTTGACATGCAACAGAAGTAGTATGGTGCTTTACTGATAATAGCCAACGGAACTCTCTGAACAATATGGTTATTAATAAAGGCAGTAATAACATGGGGTCTGATTTATATAGCAATAATATAGCGTCCTTGAGTTATGAGTCGGGTAATGTCATTAGTTCTGTATATACTGATATCACTTATTATTCTACTCTATCTTGTGTAATAAGTCTAAATATTTAATTAAAAAGATTCATTTTATTCTTATAGTTCTCTTTTCCTTACTGTAAAGTCTTGCGTATATTAGTAGGTTTATAAGTTGTTCTTAAAGTTAATATAAAGAAATCCAAACTTTAGCCAGTATCTAGCTAACGACCTGAACAGAAAGTTTTTTATATATTTTAATTATATAACTATATATAATACAAAAGGCCTCCTAGCCTTCAAGCTCGTAAACCTGGTCTGTCTCAGAAGGGCTTACGTTAAACATATTACTACCATTTTTCAGATTTGTGAGCCTTTGACTTAATGTTAAGTTGCTAAGAGCATCTAAGTCCTGCTCATCAATGCTGGCCATACTCTGCATCGTTCTAGTATCCCAGAACCTCCTCCTGCCACTCGGCTCACGACGAATTCCACCATTCACGGGCGTTCGTGGTGGCACTAGGAAAATATGTTAGTCCAAATGATCCAAGGTGCTTTTCGTAGACTACGGCACGAGATCTAATGTTCTGACGTTCGCATCCACATGGCGTCGGCTCTGTTACTTAAATGGAATGAAAAACATACCTAGATGTCTATGATCGTCCACCAGCTCTCGTGGGAATCCGCTGATGGGAAAATATCTGTCATTTGAACCAGATGTTGAGCTGTCTTGAAGACACAAGGACATATGGATAGGGGAGATCTCCTTGTTTGCACGGAAATCGATTGAATCTAGTTCGAAGTTTCCCCTGACGCACATGGTGTTGATGATCTCCTCTGAAAGCGGTATTGTGATCCCGTCATTAGGATAGCCCTGTTCCTGAATGGTGAAATAGGGCTCGAAACTTCCACTGACCCGAGTCTGGAGAAACCTTCCGAGGGCTTTGATCTCATCCGACCGGTCAACAAACCTACAAAGAATACGGCCTGTATTAATGCGTAAGTAACAAATCTTGAAATTGGACGGTAACTTACCTTGACATCTGAATCCATTCCCAACATGTTTAATTCGACTAGGATCCGTTTCAAAGAAAAAGGTACTGGCGATAAGGCGATATGCGGTTTCTTTGACTAGTTCTTTGTTTTGCCTCAGGTACCTGGAGGTCTTTCGCTCAATCTCTTCCATCATTGACACATCGTCAAGTCTGGGCACATTGTCGCCGAGTTCAGGGTTGATTCTTACGTAGCGTTGCTCTCCATCCGGAATGGAACGGCCATGAAGCTGAGAGTTTTCAGTCAAAAATGACTCCCAGATACGATTGCAGTTGAGAATATCACCAAGTCTCCCACTGCCTGTCTGATATAGCTGTGTAATCAGAGACGGCTTGCTCGTCTTTTGTTTATGGTGGGGTGAGAGACGCCCTGCCGGATCACCTGTAGAGTCATGTTTATGGAAGCTGGTTCCAACAGAAACAAGGACGTCGGGGAGGCGGCTACCTACATCACCCCAGATTAATCTCTTCTCATGATGGGCAACCCAAACTGGACAGTTGTGATACAAAGCGCCATCAAGATACATCTCTTTGGTCTCGGGTTTCTCGTAGGGCTTGAAAAAGGGCGGTGCCGCGGCTGTTGCTCTTGCTCTTGAGGTCTGTTAGTTAAATTTGATGATACATGTGTGTGCCAGGAGTCCTCTTACGCTTCCCAAACTTTCATTTCCTTGTCTGGCTGCGGCGCTCTCTGAAACCGATATGGTGTGCCTTTGCAATGTCAGTGACAACATATAATTCAGAGCAGACTTTATCCCACACACTCAACATGGGATTCTCAGGCCTGTTGTAGTTTGAAATAACAACAGCATGCTGGTCTACTGAGATAGTCGATGTTACTGCAACCTTTGTCGCCATTTCCCCTGGCTCTTGCGGACCTTCAACCAACGAGCCTCCAAATAATGGCCGATTTCGACCGAATTTCTCCTTGAGCAATTCCTCAAAGGGTTTGGTCTTGTACATACTTCCGTGGCTGATAACGGCAAGTTGTTCGAGTACGGGCACTCCTTTCATTTCACGAGGTGTAAAAGCCTGGTGGCAAAGCTCTCGGAAAGTCTGAATGCAGTCTTCGACAGTCCAATTGTTGACCCCAAGTCCAAGTGAAATAATTCCTCCGGTGCTGAGATAAGTGATCAGTCTCCATCAATTACTATCTGCCGTAAAGAGGTGGTTGGGTTACTGAACGAACCTTGTGCCTACGATAAGATCGAAGAAGGATTGAATTGGTAACTCTGGACTGAGATACCTTTCAATGTTTCGAAGCACAAGTAGGGAGACAATTCCACGGAAGCCACCTCTAACATGTAGAATTAGTAAACTCTCGAAACAGACTTGAAACGTTGCTTACCCGTCAAGACACAGAATTCTCACTCCAGCATGAGGAGGCTTCACATTGATCTGCCAGGGTGGCTCCCAGAAGGAGTCAGTGTAGTGAAGGGGGCATTTCTGCAGTAAAATCACCGTGGGAGATATTTTCTTGCCATGTGCCAACACACATGGGTTGCAGAGGATGTGTCCACACGGGAGAGCATGTTCTGGTAACTCTCTCAAACAAGCGAGACAAGTTTCATGGCTCAGGAATTTGCACGCTCCTCCGATAGTAGAGTAAAACCGATTAATCTCCTGGAGGTGCATGTCTGCCGCAATAGTTGCATTAGATAAATGGCTATACTGATGAGTCTGGTCGTCGAATTTGACTTCAATGTCTTGTAGATGAGTTCGGATAGAAGCCAGCCACTCTTCCAAAACTTGTTGTCGCTGAAAGGATGATTCATAGCTACCAGGTGCAATAATCCTCCCGGATTCGCTTTGATGTCCTTTTGGGCTATGTCCAAGACGCCTATTGCAGCATCTTCCTCGAGAATTTTGGAACTCACAAGGCAAGTAAATATCAGAGAATACCTTGATGGCATACTCACAGAACTCAATATATACATCGCTTAAAAGTCGGTCCGTGGTTCCTTGTTTATCGTGAGTCAGCTTTTATTATGCAAGGTGTCAATTAGCGTCGGAAAATACCTAGTAGATTCTGGCGGACAGAGTCCAAGTGAAAGCAAGACGCCAGCATTGGTGACATGTCAGTGAAGACATGGGCGGCGTTGTAATGAGGTTGATCATGTGGGTTTTCCTTGCATGAAGAGAGCAAGTTTCAGAATGTTCCCGCCAAGGTCTCTTGGAACAGGGTTGTGCTTCAGGGCTTCTTTGATGAAGTCAAAGGGAACCGTCAGGTTCTGAGCAAAGTGATCGAAAGCTGCTTGGAGGTAAATCTGAAGCTTTTCTGCTGTCGCAAGCATGCGAAGCCTCTTTTTGTTCAGGAGTGATGCTTCACATTTGAGCTGGATCAGTTTGAACAATTTCTCGATTTGCTCGTCCATCAGCATATACCGGCCACGAGCAGGCACTCTTACGACACCAACAGAGGCATAGTAGCATTTGAGTAAGTCGTGAGTTGATGAAATGTTGCGTCCCCTCTGTTTCCAGATTCTGGCATACTCCTCGACTTGCGGCACTTGACGGATGGCACTTCGAACGTCATTCATGAGGAGCTCTGTGGCCGTCTTGATGTCCCATTCCTTGTCGTCTACGTCTTCAGTCGCGTTGAGGACAATGACAGCATGGGGTAAGGTTGGCTGGTTTACAGACTTGTCAATAGAGGCGGCGCCCCAGCCCAAGATCTGTTCAAGAAGAGTAGATTCGAAGGCCCTATGAAGCTGCGGTCAGAACTTGCTTGGAGGTTGGCTTTGCACAGATGGCAATTCAAGGTAACTGGGCAGAATGATTGAAGCATAAAAAAACCCTTAGATCAGGGAGCTTGATGTCAATATAAAAGAAAGCATACCTAGGATTCCGAAGCACAAAAACGACAACATCAGAAAATGTGTAGAGAAGGCGAGGGTATAGCTGCGTGACAGAGAATTCCCGCTTCTTCATCGCTGGAGTGGATGCCCACAGTATGTTACGCTGTGAACTATACCGAGACTTTTTGAGCTTAGCTTTAGACTCAACATGCAACAGAGGCCGTAAAGTGGGCCTGATACCTGAGGCCTCATCCCTAGTAAATGTGCGGTGCCTCAGTCCCCGGGGGATTCTTTCGCCACCATTGAGGCCCTCACAGTCCGCAAAGAGCATGGGAACTTGGGAATGGAAAGATGAAGGTTCTCCATAGAGGTGAACATCGCCCGTAGTCGCCAATCGGTCATTGGCAGAAGAGGTAACAGGGGAGGGCAGCTTATTTCTACTCTCAGCTTGAGCACGCTCAATTAGAATTTTAATTAACGTGCTCTTCCCGGCGCCTGAGAGATATATATTAGCTTGGTCTGAGGCAACATCTCAATGAGAACAGGGACAAGGTAGGACTTACCTGTCTGGCCGATAAAGGAAATTAGTTGCGGGAAACGATCCTCAGACTCCTCGCTCTGGCTCTCGCTCATAAGGGCGGCGAATCTCCCGTAGTCTTGGAAGACTTGTTGTTGGGATGGGTCGCGAACAACACCGAACCAAGTTGTATCATCATCCAACTCGAGACTCTTCTCATGATCTGCATCTGAAGTAGTGGGTTCCAGGATGCCTCGAAGGCGTGTGATAACATGAGGATCCGACTTCTCATGTGGTCGGCCGCCCCAGCCAGTGGCGCCATCAGCATGTAGGATCCAGGTTGACCAACAAATGTCGCAGAATGAGAGGTTGTTGCATTGAATGCAGATGAAGGTCTTCGTATTTGCGTGGCACTGGTGGCACGGCTTATAAGAAGCTTGGATCGGTGGCAGTTGAGGTACGGGTGGCGGTGCACGAGCAGGTTGCCGGGGATACGTTTCGTCAGTTGGAGGAGGCTCCATTGCAGAGCTGTGGCCGGACGACTATCGCAGAATGCTCAAAACTTCGCCATTGACATTAATGAGAGAAGAGGGGTAAGTGACGCGTTTAAGTAGGCTCTGGGTTTAGGCTGTTGGCTGGAGCGGTGAGTAAGCGACGTAAGGGATATGCAGCCATAGCCAGCTAGTCCTGACCTCATCATTACCAAGCTGGGCACTTTACAGAGCCTGTACGCCACAATTATGGTGGTGTGGATGATGTGCAGCAGGCTGATTTGCCTTGATGAGGGAAATAATCATGAACTGATCCCATATCTACAAATATTCTGTCGGCTCGTCAATTCCATCCAAGTTGAGGGAGATGAGAATTTAGTGCTCGTATTATCAAACATGATAGTCATATAAAGCTTACCAGCAAGTCTTGTTGACGCAAAGGAGTTCTCAGATCGAGTTGTCTATCCTTCCTTTTTGCAATGCCTACCAGGTGTGAAAAGTAAGCGCTGTGGCTTCAGGCTCGGCTCCATGACCACCTATCAGAGCGATGGATACCCAGCGTTTGCGCGCAAATTCGCACTTTCGTCCAGTTCAATGTCTCGGAGAGATAGTTCCTTTGCCTGTCCATTGGGTGGTTTGAGAGTCTCTCCACTTCTAAGGACGCAGCCTGCTTCCACACGGTGTCTGGCTGAGACACCGATTTCAAATGAATTTGAGTCACAAATCTGGTGGATGATAAGCCCAAGGCGCCTGTGAAGCTTAGATCAATGGGCGCTGTTTCGACGATTACTTCCTCGCTCTAGAACGTTCCATGATGGGCGACTAAAGTATTGGGTCTACTATCTTATTTCGCCCCTAGCCAACGGCTAAAGTTGTATTACAGCAAGACTTACACAGGGATAGTTTTCCGGTTATATTACTACTTTAAGGGCAAATATAAAAATGAATTATATCCTTATACTGCTCTTTGGACTTTTACTATTATGTAGGCTTATAAAATATAATATAATAACCCTTAAAAGGTTAAACTAAACCTAACTTATATATAAATATTTAGTTATAATAAGTATAAATATTAAATAATAAAAAGGTTATTAAATTAATTCTTATTAATAAATTAAGAAAAACTAATTAGCTAAGTAAATATATATATTTTAATATTTATACTTAATTCTATATAGCTTATAGTAAGCTTTATAGACTTGTAATAAAATTAACTATATTATATTAAAGTATTATATAAGATATAAGAGGTAGTTTCCTTTTATTACTAACTAATTATCCTTTAATAGATAAATAACTAGGCTAGACTAGAGATCTATCTTGCGAAGAAGGCCGCGCTATTTAGTGCTAAAATGGAGGAGTCTGTTATCTAGATAGTTTCGCATCGAGACGTTGTAATGTAATTCTATTGCTATGCTGCTAATTTAAGCGCATCTCGCACCACAATTTGCTTTCTGACCTATCACAATGCTTTAGTTTCGCATCGAGACATGGTTATCTTTTCCGAGGAAGATAGGATCGCCAAAGCACCCGACATTGAACTCAAGACTTCGTTGCGCCGTATCAATATCGGCTTGAGTGTCAGAGTATGGCTCAGAAGTGGCTATTCAGCACAATAGAGATCTCTCCCCGTTGCGCAGGCTTAAACTCCTTCGCATAAAGCTTAACCTTATAGGCCGCAATCATCCCATAGGTAAGGCCGACGCGCCATGTTTCGTTCTTTGTATCGAAACCGTCTTCTGCGCGATGGCCTGGCGCAAGTGTTCCGTTGACATGACCAAAGATGGAGATGATATATGGCTCGTTGAACGTGATCCATTTCTTAACACGATCGCCAAAGCGATCAAAGCATACTCTTGCATAGTTGGAAAAGTCGGCAGTGAACTCTTCGGTATTAAGAAAGGCCTTGTAACGATCGTAGAGAGTCTGCGGCGCATCCCAATGATACAATGTCACCACAGGCTCGATCCCGCGTGCCAACAACCGGTCGATGAAGTCGTTGTAGAAAGCTATTCCTTTCTCATTGATAGGATCGTTTCGGCCTCCGAGAGGAATTATTCGTGTCCAGGATAGAGAGAAGCGATAATCGTCGACGCTGCACACCTTCATAAGTTCAATGTCCTCGGGGACCCGATTGTAGTGGTCGCATGCTATGTCACCGGTTTCCCCGTTGTTTGTTCGGGGAGGCTTGAGATGAGTGTAGGTATCCCAGATGGATTGACCTTTGCCGTCTTGGTTTGCGCCACCTTCGACTTGATATGCTGCAGTTGCAGTACCCCAGCAAAAGTCTTTGGGTAGTGGGAGCTCTTGAACAGTCAAATCGTCGGTTGTACCTGAGCTGGTGACCAAGTCACCAGCCTGGAACATAGAAGCCTCCTTGGACATCGCAATTGGATGATGACAAAAAAGGTGATAAGTTTGTGCAAAGGAACAATATTGACTGGGGGTATCCTCAAACAGTCCTGAGTCAAAGGGTCTGTGTCTTTCATGGCTTTTGAGCTCACAAGACCTGCTCCACCCAGGATGCTACTAAGATGCCACTTCTTCCTCTTAGGCAACTGTGTTATTACCCCCTTGATTTGTGTATATCTATTCTGGCGATTATAAATGCAGCCCTGCACGCCACAGGCGACAGGGTAGGTAGAGTCCCCGTCGGAGAACCTGGCGGATTCTCAGTCGACAAGGGCAGTCCCCCACATCAAGTTACTAGCATACCATTTTCTTCAAGTCTCCGTCGGAAAACTCTTCGGATTAGAGTGGACACCGAGTATTTTGGCTCGTGTCATGATACTGTGGGGTTAGGCCCCGGATGAGATGATAATGCATGGGGCAACTTCTCATCCCTCAATCTACAGCAAATGACAAATTGATGTTGTCTCAATGAGGCCGTTATCAGCGTGTGTCGCGTGCCGGTATGTGTTGCTCTCCATTTGTTTACCAATCCAATCCAATCTAATATCAGACTCTCCAGTGATCGGCGGAAAAAGTGCGATCGGTCTCGACCAGGATTAAGTTGCATATTCTGCATCAATAGAGGCCTCGACTGCGTTGGAGTCACAGACGAACACGTCTCCGCCACCTCGGAAAGGCATTACGAACCTCTTGGGAATCAGACAGATGATGGCAGACCTCGTCGTGTCTCTTCGCTGGTCGTGCCAGATGCTGCTCTGGCAGAGGAGTTGGCGAGTCTCTATTTTCGATACATGCACATCACATTTCACAACATCTTCCATCGCGCAACATTCATAGCCCAGGTAAAGGACTCATCTATACCAAAGATCCTATTTTTCGGTGTTGCTGGTCTATCGGCGCGATACTCGACACATCCCGTCTTTGCGTCAATCACGCCGTGGGATAGAGGACGACCATATCGGGATGAGTGTAAGAGGTTGCTGGACCTGGAGGATACTTCATTGATCAGTATCCAAGCTTGCATGTTGCTTGCAGCAAATGCTTTCGTTGAGGGAGATTCTAAGACCGAGTCGGTATATCAAGCAATTGCCTCTCGCATGGCCATGCTGCTAGATCTTCCAAACTTACCAACTGAGTCGCTTCTGGAGCAGTAAATCAACAGGCGAGGTAATTTAACCTGGCTCTGAACCGAAAATGAGACGCTTACTCTGTTATTTAGTATGGTGGTCTCTAATTACAACCGAGACATGGTCAAGCGCAACGCAGTCTCTGCCCAGGTATATAAAACCACGAAACACTACCCCTTACCCATGGACGAACGCCGATTTGCCTCGTTAACCCACGAGACTCCAGCACCATCGCCCGACGCGTCTCCTTGCGCCTCACCTACTTGCAGCTTCGATCCCCAATCTCTGATCGCCCAGATGATCCGGCTGAATCTCTTAATTTACGACGTCATTGTCTTCCTCAACACCCAAGTAGTTGATTCACAGGATGCAGATTCGGGGAAAGGGGGATTCGACTATCAACTCCTCCATAGCCTCGATGAATGGGCAGACAAACTACCCATCAGACTTTGCTATTCTGAGGAAAATGTGATATACTGGGCAGATGAGGGCTTCGGCGCCTTCTTCATCACACTACATATTAATTACAATCACGCTGGCCAGCTTTTATTCTACCAACACCTCCAATCTTCTCAAGGACAGGATCAATGGGATGATAGTACACAAGGGTTTGCCCAGCGATGTAAACAGCATGCAACAAACCTGTGCGATCTCATCTATGAAGCGAAGCGACGGCCTGACACTGTCGTTCTGTATCCGCTTGCTGGCCACATTCTATGCCTCGCCTCTACGGTTCAGATCCATACACTTCTCTTTAGTTTCGACGATGACGAGATCCTCGCCGCTAAGACACGTTTAGAAAGAAACTTTGAGATGATTTCCTCAATGAACAACTATTGGCCTATGAACCATATGTTAATCAGCCGGCTGCAGCATTTTCGTAACGCCTGTCTTCGGAGCAAAGATGACTCATTCCGTTTGGATGCTTGGATGCTTCGATTCTTGCTGGGGTTTACGCAGGACATCAAAGACAGGGATGCAATTTGGACATACGGACATCGGGCGCTGGGCGACTTTGATCCACTGAGAGATCTCTTGGATATATAATATCACTTCTATGGACTATCTGTTACCCGAGTAAAAGAACTCGCCACAATGAGCCTAGGTACCTGCAGCCGGTTGCACATACTTGATCTCATCAAGGACCGTTGTCAATGTTCCGTTCGTCTCCATGATGTTAACCGACACATCTATCTCTATTTCAAACCCATGTTCGCTTGTTACCTTGGTACCTTTCACTACTCCAGTCTGCGTGATGTTGGAGAACCATTCCACTCGGTCTTTCCAAACATTGGGAAGCAACTTCCACTTGGAAACCTTCTCATATCCGTCAATTGTGTAGCCGTCTTGATCAGAATAGTTGCTATAGGACGCCGAGATAGTTTGAATAGTGCCAGCGTCGGAGTCCTCAATGAACTCAACCTCAGCAAAGCCTGACAGCTGACCCTGCAGTGTGTAATTACCGGCTGGGATCTGATACTGGGTCGGTGCTGTACTGCCAGCGGGGAATGGCTTCGCCCAAGGGATGAAGTTGGGTGCTTCAAAGACCGGTGCTGGTTCTGAGGGCTTCAGAGAGGTGCGACGGGCAAGCATCACACGGTAGTTGCGACCTCCTTGGGCGGTAGAAACTGGACATGGGAGTGGGTTGGCACCACCGCAAGAGGGGGATACCACAAGAGCTTGCCAATATCCAATCATTGTGCTATCAGGAGAAACGGCAGGATCAGCTCTGCCATTCCAGTTGGGGTCATTGGCACTTCCGTCACTTCCGTCACCGTCCGCATTGACCTGCTGACCGAAATAGTTTCCACTATCCCCATCGTGACTGATGAGAATCGGCTGGAAGAACCTTCGTGGACCGTTGTTGCGAGTTGACGAAGCGATGGCCACAACAAGGTAGTCGATGATAGGAGGGATCCATCTCATACCAGACATGAACATCTGGCGGCCTACAACATGCGTGTCCATAGCAACTATCCATTGATTATCGTGGGACATGGTAATTGGATCAGTGTAATCGGGATGACTGGTAAGGCGACGAATAGCTCCAGTTGTTAGGTGGAAGGCCATGACATCGATGTTATTAGCTTCGACCGGAGATGCTATGTATAGAATCTCATCGCCCGAGCCACTAAAACCACGAAGTTCACCTGGTATAATAGCATCATGGTTGATGATCAGTTTCTCGTCTGCAACATACATGGGAGGTTTGCTATTTTTGTCGACAAGAATATTAACATCAACCAGGTCGTATCGAGAGACAAGAGGATCTCCAACCTTTGGATCGGCGTTGAACTCTAGTCGAAGCGATGCTTTATTGACTTGTACCAACTGTAGAGAGGTGTTCCTAGTCGTGGACTTTATAGTCGCTAGCTCGATCTAGTTTCTATATCTGACTTCACGAAATTCTTCGTGTGTATTTACGACCGGTGAACGATCTGCTACGATATTGGGGGGATAAGGGTGGGAGCAGTGTTACCTAAGCTAAATCTCTAGTGCATCCCAGGCCTTAGTAGGGTGATGCTTCCCCAGATCTTCCTCATCCCCGTGGGGAATAGAACACATGGGTGGGCATTGTGGTGTTGACATAGCCATGTCGATAGCTACGTGATGTTGAAAACAAACATTCGACGTCGGAAATGATGTCGGAATATCTGAAAAAGCAGACAGGTCCGCGAACTAACATTAACTAGCATGGCGTGCGGAGTAGGTTGAGGAGATCCGCGTTTAAAACCGAAACCGCGTACCGATTGAGCCCCATCGGCTAGTGTACTGCACTCAGATCCGGTCATGCACCAGTGAGGGGTCATAGTGAGGACAAGGAATTCACGCGTGCTAGCGGTGACTCTAGTTGGAGGCGGAGTCTTCCGATGGGTTTTCCGACGATGCTGGATGATGGGTGGAGACTATCGTAAATGTGACATATCAAAGCGAGGCCAACACGAGAAATCACTTTTCATCCATGAATTCGTTCTTCGGGATAAAATATAGCGAAACGAATTATACTCGCCAACTTCACATAGGGTGTGCACCAACTGGTTTCAAGGACTTCACAGCCTGTCCAGCATGTTAGCAGTAACTGATGTTCGCTTTGAGCATTATCACGCTCCAAATACCCTTGGGGTTCAAGAATCCACGCCCCGAGTCTCATGGAAGATTGTACAACACGATACTAACGGCACACAAAATGGATACGAGATCGAGCTGACCAAGTACGGCCCTGGCCAAGAGGTCCATGGTGTATTGAATGCAAGACAACAGTCCCGAGACAACATCCTGAATCCATGGCCGTTCAGAGAGCCTCTTCAGTCTCGTGAACGTGAGTCAATTCGTGTTCGAGTCTGGGACAAACAGGAGGAAAAGAGTCCCTGGAGTGAGCCTGCCCATCTGGAAGTAGGGCTATTGCATCGGTCAGACTGGGCCTGCGAACGCATCGCCGCCCCTTGGGCTTCAGAAACGTCAGAGGCTGGCCCCGAAGACCTATTCCGCAGACAGTTTGTTCTTCGTGACTTACCTATCAAAGCACGACTTTATATCACAGCCCAGGGAGTCTATGAGGCCGAGATCAATGGACAACGCGTTGGCGACTATTTCCTAGCCCCGGGGTGGACATCCTATGATGGGCGACTTCAGTACCAGACTTATGACGTTACTTCGCACCTGGTCAACGGTGGAAATTGTATCGGAGTAAGGGTTGCAGAGGGGTGGTTCTGTGGCCGTATTGGCTTTGAGGGCGGCCATAGAAATATATGGGATGGGGTCCTCGTACTGCCTTTCTCGCGCAGCTGGAGGTTACTTACGCTGATGGGCAAAGGTGCATAATACATAGCGACGGTTCGTGGAAGGTTACACGAGGTCCAACTCGCTTGGCGGAGATATATGATGGGGAGAAATACGACATGACAATGGAGGTGCCAAATTGGTCATCGGTGATGGATCAAGAAAGGCTGAGACAATGGAAAGATGCACAAACTCTGACCTTCCCACCTGTATCAACACAGCTCGTTGCAGGTTTTGCAGAACCAGTGCGTCGAATCGAAGCGATATCTCCTATCAAAGAGATCACAACGCCAAGTGGGAAAAGAGTCCTTGACTTTGGTCAGAATCTCGTTGGATATTTACGTCTATCAGGCATCAGTGGTTCCAGTGGACACAAGATTACTCTTCAGCATGCTGAAGTCATGGAGAACGAAGAGCTTGGTATTCGGCCCTTGAGAATATGCCAAGCGAAAGACGAAATTATCCTCAAAGATTCACCGACAAAGTTATGTTGGGAACCAAGATTCACTTTCCATGGATTTCGGTACGCTCGGATTGATAATTGGCCCGGTTCCTTTGATACATCCTGTATCGAAGCTGTCGTGTGCCACACTGACATGAAACCCGCTGGTCACTTCTCGTGCTCGGACCCGCTACTGAATCAACTGTATCGCAATATCGTGTGGGGTGTGAGAGGTAATTTCCTTTCGGTGCCAACTGATTGTCCTCAGAGAGATGAACGACTGGGCTGGACTGGAGATCTATCTCTCTTTGGCCCTACAGCATGTCTTATTTATGGCTGCTTTGGCATATTGAAGAATTGGCTGATAAATCTTGCACATGATCAACATGTTCTTGGTGGTGTTCCCCCAATGGCCAGTCCGAACGCCACTCTCCCAGATCCCATCTGGTGTAGAAGAGTGCCATGCGCCATTTGGCATGATGTCACGATCATAGCACCCTGGATCCTTTATCAAGAGAGTGGGGATGAGAGTATCCTAGCTCAGCAGTATGATAGCATGATGAAGTGGATGAAGGTGCTCCCTCGACAGACTTCGGGACTATGGGATCCAAAGCCCTTTCAACTCGGCGTGAGTTCCGAAGGATAGTTTTATAGTGCTGACATCTGAAATAAGACTGGCTTGACCCAGCAGCACCACCAGATCAACCGTGGAAAGGGGCAACAGACTCCAAAATGGTCTCAAACATGTTTTTGCTACAAAGCCTCGATCTCATGAGCAAGATCTGTGGCGTGCTGAGACGGAAGGATGAACAACAGAGATTCAAGGAGGACTACCAGGCAACACGACTCGAGTTCCAGCAAGAATATGTCACACCACGGGGGCGCATTACCTCAGATTCCCAAGCTGCATATGCACTAGCTATTTGTCTTGACCTCCTTGAACCAGCGCAACGTGTACGAGCCGGAAATCGTCTGATGGAACTCGTACGGAAGAACGAGTTCAAAGTCGGCACAGGATTTGCCGCTACGCCATTCCTTTGCGAAGCCCTTGCATCTACCGGCCACGTCCAAGTTGCGTATGCGATGCTGCTCGAGAAAGTCTGCCCGTCATGGCTATACCCAGTAACTATGGGTGCAACTACAGTCTGGGAGAGGTGGGACAGTATATTGCCTGACGGTTCTATCAACCCGGGAGAAATGACCTCATTTAACCACTACGTCTTTGGCGCTATAGCCAAGTTCATGTATGAGAGAGTTGCCGGGCTACAGAGACTTGAGCCTGGATGGAGGAGAATTCGTATTTCCCCCGCTATTGGCGCTGCCTTTTCTCGAGCTGCCGCATCGCATGTTTCTCCTCAAGGGACGATATCTTTCGAGTGGGAAACAAGGGTTGTTGATGGAGAAAAGGAAGAATTTACTATCAAAACTACGGTTCCGCCGAACACTGTCGCTAAAATTATTCTTCCTGGTTTGGAAAAGGAACAGGTAAAGGAGGTTGGTTGTGGGCAGTGGACTTTTAGTTCGCTCTTTAAAAGAGATTATGAGTGGCCGGTCTTGCCGCTACCACCAAAGTCATGAGAAGTTGCCTTTATAGTTAGGGTGAAATGGATAGATCATGAAAATTAAAAAGCCAAACTCGCATTTTAGCTTTGATACAGCTTGCTATATACAGTGAGCAGATAGGGTATAGGAGTCACTCTACCTATCCCACCTTTCTCAGCAAGCTTACCCAACAAAATAACCATGTTTTAACTATTCTTTGACAGGTCAGACCTAGAGTTCGCTGTGGCGCAGTCATTCTCCAAGAACCTCGGCTTATATGGAGAGCGCGTAGGGGTTCTTCACATTGTCGTACTGGAGACCGACACTGCGACGAAGGTCACCCCTTTGCTGACCCAGCTGCCGCGTGCTGAGATACCTTCCTGTCCTTTATACAGTGCAAGAATCGTTGCCAAAATTCTGAGTAGCCCACTTCTCTTGGACCAATGGCAACAAGACCTAGAACTATTATAGCAGTATTTAATTGAAAAAGGTACTACTGATATTGAACTTAGTAAGTTAATATACTATTAACAGAGCAGAGGGCATCTGTAGTTCTGACTATAGGATCCTTACTGTTAATGATATCAATATTATTCTCGTTGAACCCATTACTCCTCCTCGGGCCCTTACTACCTACCCCTCCAACAATATACTCCCGCGAAGTTTAAATGATATTTCGGACAGCATTCTTAATAAATCCTACAGCACCTCCCTTGCGCTTCTCCCCTCCCAACTCAGCATCACTCGCGGCGTTGTCCTCTCCAGAGACACCTACACGGTTGATCTCCCTCATGCCTGTGTAGATATCAATATCTTGTGTTCTGATGAACAATGGGCGGTGTGATGGCTCATAGATCCAGCTATAGCCCTTCCAAAGTGCGTAGAGGAAAAGCAGTAGCGGACCGGCGAGGTAGAGCTGGAAAAAGGTTGTTGCATCCAGGTTAGGGCCGCCGACAGGATAAAGCGCGACGTAGAACTGAGCGATCAGAGCAAGAACGCAGATAAGCAAGCAGATCCAGGAGCCCCAGACGCCGCAATTGGCCTTATAGGGAAGCTCGTCCAAGGTATGACCGTGCATGGCCCTGTTCTAAGTTAGTCATCGAAGGAACAAAAGCAGATCAGAAAACACCAGGTTATTTGCTTACCAGGCCTTGCGGAAGCGAATGTGAGCCAGAGCGATCCCACCGTATACGAAGAGGATGGTGAGACCCGACAGTGACAGGAGCCAATTGAAGATCGTACCACCATTGGGCGCCAGATTAATGAATGCTAGCAGCCCAAAGAGAAGCTGAAGAATGACCACGGGAATAGGACGACCCTTCTTGTCAATGTAGGCCATTTTCTTTGGGAACATTCCTGTACAGGAAGTGCGTGTTAGCGTTTCAAACAACATGTTCATTTTATCATGCAGTACGCACCATTTGCAGCGAGAGCCTGAAGCGTTCGTGTCGAGCCAAAGGTGCACGAGTTAGCAACACTCATAACGGCGATCAGGATAACGGCATTAAAAATCGACGGCAGGACCTTGATGCCAGCAAGTTCAATTGCAATGACAAAAGGCGACCCCTTCGACACGGAATCCGCACTGCCGTACAGGGGACTGTTTGCTGGGACGACGAGTCCGACAAGAAGAAGGTTGACGACGTAGAAGATACCGATTCGCCATGCGACCTGGTTCGAGGCCCTCGGAATCTCCTTTCTTGGGTTTTCTGTTTCCGCAGCAGCCAGTCCTGTCAGCTCGGTGCCAGTGTAGGCGAACGCTGCAGTGACGAAGACGCTGCAGAAGCCGTGGAAGCCATTGAGGAATGCGCTGTAAGGGTCGTTCCTGTTTCAAAATCCATGTTAGCTTAGTTCAGCTACTTGCAAGGACGCATGACATTACCAGTATCTTCCACCGATGTAGCCTCTGTCGTCTGTCGGAACGCCGCCGACGTCGATAATTATTCCTAGGATGATGAAGCCTATGCAGGCAAGGATCTTCATCAAACTGAGAACGAATTCGACCTAATTCAATAACGCGTCAGCTTATTGTCCATCTATCTGAAGGCTGGGAACTTTTCAGATAGGTGGGAACACACCTCGCCGTATCCCCTCACGCCAAAGAATTGAATGACCACCAGGGCGACAAGGAGCGGGACGATCCAAGCACTGTTGTTGATACCATGCGAACCTGGCCAGAAATGGATCATGTTGCAAGCAGCGGAGATCTCAAAGGGAAGGACAGTGAGCCAGCTAATAGCGTACTCTATGCCGCACGCCCACCCGAAGGAGGGATCAACGAAGCGGCAGATGTACATGGTGAAGGCACCATTGATCGGATACAGGACAGTCATTTCTGCCAGGGCCTGCATCATGAGGTATCTAAATGATCTACGTCAGTATTCATCAACCGGAGGTGAAGATGCTTCGACTTCCACGTCGAGGGAACATACACCATGAAACCTGAAGAACGAACGCGTTAGCTGTCGCGTCGCGATCAATGCAGGGTACACAACTCACCAACAATTAGGAAACCAAGAAAAACAGAAGCAGGTCCACCAGTCTGGAAAGCACCACCAGAACCGATGAACAGGCCAGCACCAATTGCACCACCACTGAGAAAAGCGACCATTAGTTGGTGTATATAATTGAGGACTTGGCATTAAACCCTTACATGGCAATCATCTGCATGTGCCTGCCCTTGAGGTTTCGTTGAAGGGAATTAGTCGTCACGGCCTCTGCGTTATCGGCGGGGAACTGCTGGCCGGCCGTGGAGTCGACCGCACCCGGTTTGTAGCCAGCGGCATCGCTGCCGCTATTGTTTTCGTGTTTGAGACTCATCGTGATGAGGACGGAGGAGAGAGGGGGGAATGGGTAGGAAGAGGAGAAGTGAGAAAGAAGGGAGAAAGAAAGGTAGAAGATGGAGAGCTACCCCAACTTTGGAGCTCCAAAGGCATTTAATGTAACGCATGCTACGGGTGTAGCACCACCCTTTAATTCCAGACAGCGGCGGCAAATCATGTGCCACACCCCCGCCGCCTATTGGAGCCATTGCTTTGGAATGACATGGTGCTGGCACGATACTTCCTTCCCCAATGGAGTGCTCCGTACGGCACCAATCGATAGCTAATTTGTTCAGTTGGCGATAGTTTGGCGATAAGCAGCCTAATCCAATCTTACTCCACGCCAGGGTACTCCGTCAGCAAGGCGAAATATGGGCCGAAGGAACCGTCTGAGGAAGGTGCACAGCGTGACAGGTGATGTTACACCCAGGTCTTCAGACACTCGGTATCGTGGGCTCTGATATCATTGGTGGTTCTCGTGTGCTGCTTATCATGCTCGACATAACTACCTGCCATTTGCGGAGATGCGAGTAGTACAGGAGGTGTGGATTCCGGGCGACAAGGCTTACATAGCTAACCCAAATGACTTAGTCTCGGCCAAGACGATACGCGAATGCTTGCTCAAAGCTTGTCTCATGACCTCCCCGCCTTCCCAATTCGGGAAGGTGTGTGATCTAATATGGTTAGCTCGAACCCCAGGTCAAGGCGGCGTGCCGGTTAGCCGAGCGGGAAGCTAGTGATGCGAGGCGCTGGCAAAGACGGCACACTTGATAAGTTATTGTTACCAGACTGGGCCTGCCAACGTATCGCCGCCCCGTCCGTGGGCTTCAGAAACGTCAGAGGCTGGCCCTGAAGACTTGTTCTGCAGACAATTTACTGTCAACTTTCTTACATTTGATGTCTTTACTATTTGGCTACCGCCTCTATTTATCCCCATGGTCCTTGTCTTCTGGAACATATTGAACGTCAATTCCTTGTTGCTGCCATTTGATCTCAACCCCGCATTCTACAGAGCTGGGTATATCTTCCCGGCTCATAAGGTTTATCCGGTGCTTACCAACATCTCGTCGAGGAGTTGCAATCCGCGGCCTCGATACGCTTTGCCAATCCTATTTGGGTAGGAGGTAGTCACTTTTTTCTTGAGAGCTCTCGGGTTTTACCGTAGAAGCCACTTTGCTATGCTTGGGGAAGAGCAACAGGAAAAGGATCTTAGGGATCGGCTTGATGCTGCTGTGGCGTTTGAGATGGCAAAGATAAACCAGGCAACAGAAGATCGTGGAGAGCCTCTCAAAGAATAGACTTTATCGACACAGGAGGGAATGCATTTTGATTCACATAACTCCCAAGGGGTCTCTAAGCAGCAAACCGTTCGAGAGGAGCTCGCTGATGTTCTAGAGTCGGTCAAAACAAGACAAGAACGTGAAAGGGAGACGGAACATCTGAGCAATATTGCAGCTTTGGACCAGCGTTTGAATTGCCTTTCAAATATGAGAGTGGGAATGGAGAAGTGAAATAGTGAGCTATTGAACCTCTTCTCAGAGACCCAAGCTGGTAAGGGCTTTCTTATGCACATGGCAAAAGCGACTATATAACGAGGGATACGAAAATCGTATTAGTTGAAAGGTATAGCTAGCAACACATATTACATTAAAGGAACGAATTAGGTAGTTATATGCACTATGACTTAGATTAAATTAAGAACTACATCAGGGCGCATTTATCTTCTATAAAATATAAAGCAAAGATATAAATTCAGTCTAATTAAAGAACCCTATATAGCCATCTTATAAAGACGAGAATATTATTACATTTCCTAAGTTACTTCCAAGGCTTCTACATACCCTAATAAGCTATTTTAACTCCTTAATACTTGACTTCACTTCTGGAGGCCCTCTAGTTCAAAGCATCGCTAAAATCCTCAAAGAGATTGTCTTTGTGCGAATACCTTCGCTAAAAGGGCCGTCAAGCATAGCTTTGAACACAGGAGATGACAGTATTAGGTGTGCCGATGAGACCCGAAGACGGATCTCAACAGAATGACCTTTTTCGGCAGAGGCCATGAGGGCTTTCAGGTCTTCGGTCTTGTGTACCGAAGAAGAGCGGTCGGAATACACATCAGGATCCAGCGGTTGATCTTCCTTGGGCTGGTCTTCCTCAGTTTTGATATCGTTCAACTTCACGACTTCATTCTGGGGTCCAGTCTCACTTGCTGTGCTCTTATCCTTAGGCTCATTGCGATTCTGAAAGTTGGGACGGCGGAGGATCAGCTCTGTATCACCCTTAGGCGAGAAGATCAAAATTGATGTTTTCATACTACACGAGAAGCATAAGATTAAAATAAAAAGTCTGGAGAGGGAGCCGTAAGATGGAGCCATAAGAAAAGAGTACTCAAGGTTATTTATCATAAGCGCCGATTGCACTTAATCCTTGCCAGCTGAAATGCAGAAGCCGCCGATCACAGCGCCACGGCGACACTACCCAATTAAACAAATTGTGTTAAGCGCTGACCGTTTGTAAACGTCGTTAACCCCATCTTTGGCCGTTAAATGAATTTCCCGAGGTTGCTTTGATTGGGTAGTTGGGAGATAATAAAGCAAGCTAGATGTTATTATTGAGGCACTATAACACAGGTCATCATGGACTTGTCGCAGATGTATCGCATGTGCTAATATTGAGAGGCTATCGGTTGCTGGCTTCAACCTCACTTCAAGATACTAACTTACATCATCAGTGATGTGAGCTACTACGTAACCGCAAAGCAGCTGTTGCATATACTGGGCCGGTAGCATCCAGCCGTTCCCTCAGATACATGGGTGGCCGGGGAAGTAAAACTCGAATTACTTTATATCTATAGTGTTATCCTGAGGTTCAAGGCAGTTACAGGCCAATAAGGCCATGAGTCAAAAGATTCTGCTCCTTTATTTCATCCTTCCGCTGCAACAGCTCTGTGACGTCCCAGTTGGTCCAAAGAAACTTGCCTTTCAGACAATCAGCCTCTTTCGAAGCAGCCAGCCAGACACAATAAGACGCCGGGAGCCCTAAGAACGTTAGCTCAAGAATTCAAACTCCTGAAATAGTGAACTTCCGGATATTATCCACTGTAGCAATATCACCGGACTTCTTCTGCATCTCCGTGGCAATAGCACCGGGATTGATGTTGAAAACACGAAGATGAGGGTTCTCCAGCTGGACGCATTCAATCATCTTTGCAAATGCAAGCTTTGATGAAGAATACGCAGAGTAACCCGGGATGGGGGGTAGATGCCCAGCTCCAGATCCGATATTGATAATCGTGTCACCCGGTTGACTTTGCTTCAGGAACTGCTGGGTTACAAGCAGGCCTCCTTTGACATTTATCTCAAAGGTTTTCCAGTAGTCATCGAGATCGGAGTCCAGCAGAGAGCGATGGGCATCGAGATATCCTGCGTTCTGGATTAGGATATTTATGTGGCCAAATGCTGCAATTGCCTTCTTAAAAGCAGAAGAGACAGCCTCTCTATCTGTAATGTCGGCTTCGGCATGATGAAACGACACTGGAGTGCCAGTAGAGAGACTTTTGATCTCTTTTACAGCACTGAGCAGCTCTGTAGCAGTCCTTCCAATGATGAATACGCCTTTGGCGCCAGCGACGGCGAAGGCCTTTGCGATTTCACGGCCAATGCCTCGACCACCGCCTGTAACAAACACGACTTTCCCCTCGCAGGATAGATCGGGATTTGTTTCAGAGATTGCATCGTACGTGTCGTGGTGATATGTTGGAACAAAGTCTAGCTTGAAAGTAGCCATGGCTATAATGATGTTGAATGTTGGAGATGTGTTGTTCAAGATGCGATGTAGAAATGCGTGACAGGAGATCGGCAGCAGAAGCAGCAGTTCATATTTATACCCAGAGAGCATGATATTTGAGCCAAGTAGGTCCAGTAATTAGACATTGTTAATTTGTAAAGTAATTGCCAGCCAAAAGATGAGGGTGCTTACCTTATGCCTCTGCGGAGCTTACTTCCGCCATTGTTACTTCCGCCTTACGAGATCAAGGTCAATTATTTCATTGGCTGGTGGAAGTAGAAGTGGAGCCTGCAGTGTGCCCACAGATTAAGCAGCGGAAGCCAAAAATAAACGAGACCAATTAGAGAGTCCTAAAGTGCGGAAGTCGAGATCCCCTCACAGCAACTTCCCCTCATCATCGTAAGCAGTGACTTTAGTTGTAAGACAGCGACTGTTTCTCATTTCCATGCCACCTCCTTATCGCCAAGCATGCGCTGCATGCATCAAGTCCAAAAGACGGTGCGACATGGCAGTTCCCAAATGCTACCGTTGTCGCGTCCGATCAATTGAATGCCTTTATCCTCATCCCTCGACGCGACGAACCCTAGCGCGAAGTTCAAAAGCTCTTTCTCAAGAAACCGCAGGAATCACAGTGGACGAATCTCAAACAGACTCACAAAATACGAGTATCACATCTGACATAACCTTCGATGCTGATGACCTCGCCTTGCCGCCTTTCCCAGACTACGACTTGGATTGGCAGGAAGCTATGACAAATCTCAATGACTTCTTGGTACCTGACTTATTGAATCCGCATGATACCGCTGAGAAGAGTGTTTTGGCAGGAGAAAAATACCAACGTCGAATTGTATACACCATTGAGCGGTTCAAGTCATACCCCAAGCAGTTGGTCCTCCACGGTCAAATTCCTTTCATCCATAGAAGAATAGTGGAAAAGTATCTTCCCCCGCCACTTACTAGAACATTGGCCATCTGTGCTCTCTATGAGATAAAGTGCGAGACGAACCAACAACTGGTTTACAGTACAATTCAGCAACATGCTGATGAGTTGATTGATCTCATACAACTGGCCGACTCTGATGTCGATCTATTGTCTTCGGTTCAGGCATTCATTCTACTACAGATAATTCGCCTACTAGATGGAGACATTCGGCAAAGAGCAAATGCTGAAAATGTGGAGACTTTCTTTGTCAACAGTATTCGGCGCTTACAACAGCGCATGATTAGTGTTGAAGAGTCGACACAAATCCTGAGCAGTCAATTGAGGACACCAGGATCTGATGCGTGGGAAATTTGGTGTCTTACTGAGAGCTTGAGACGCACGGTTATTATAGGATATAGCCTGCATGGGCTGTACTCATTCCTGAGGAATGGCTGGGACGATGCTCACCATGAGTTCCCGGCGTTATCGTTTTTTGGTCAAAGGGCTCTTTGGTCCTCCACATCGAGATTTGAGTGGGAGTCAGCTGTTGCTAAGTGTCATACATTGCCTATACGCTTTGCTCACTGGGAGTCGGATATGGCCACGGCGAAACCGGAAGATATTGACGAACTTGGAATTATTATGATGGCACTTACGACGGGTATAGATGACTGCTGTCGCTGGGTCGGGAATGACCTCCTTGAGAACTTTGGTCTCAAGCCATGAAGCTCTATATCTGTCAATTTAATGATTCGCGTTTTGTCTTGAGGTGTTCTAGTCAGTAATATTACGAAAAGCGAGTTGTTAGCGATAGAATCTTCCTCAAAATGCAAAACCTTGGCATATGCCATACAGGTAGCTGCCTTTGCTTCTCAACTGGAGCTAATTGTAAACTTCTATAACTCCAACATCAATGAAGCTCCCGATAACCCAATTCACCAGAAAATCCACGGTGTATGGCATAGTAATGCTGGGGCTAATGCTCACTTTCAGCAAGTACCTAGTGCTTACCCTATACCGTTCATATCAACGGCTGGCATTCCACAGGTTAGCATCCTACTAACTCTATAGGTATGCTGCTATTTATAGCGCAAGCCGCCCCACCATGAGGATTTGGCCACTTACATTATCCACAACCATATTTCGCCGCAAAGCTAAGGAGCCATCGGACTTACTATTAACCGAATGGCACGTCTCCTTTTCCAAGCAGCATGATTCAACCGCCGTCAATCAACAAGCATCTACCTAACAATGCATCGTCCATATTGGACCAGCCATGCTATCCGCGATAGTTCGACTATTTCGGATGCGCTGGGTGTCATTCCTTGCCTTGTTCCCTAGTTTGTGGGATCGACTCCTGCAGCTTGCTTCTTTCTCAACTACTCAAACTTCAACGAACCAAGATCAAAGCAACGATGCCAAGAATAAGGTCCAGGCGCCAGATCTTAGTAATTCGGCCACGGATACGAGCGCCGCCAGTCTTGGTAGCAACCAATTCCCCGTTCTTACCGAAGACCAGTCCATCCAAGCAAGACGAGAATTTATCGAGTCCCTTGATCTATCTGCCATCTGTGCATTGGCGTCAAAATATAACAGTAATAAGTCTTGCCGAGTCGTAAACAAGGCCAGTGGTAGTTTTAATGTTTGCTTCTTTGTTAAATTTGTCACCGATGAGCCAAAATGGGTTGTCAGAGTCCCCATCGAGCCTGCTGTGAATAATCCATGGGATAAATTGCTAAGCGAAGTGACTACCATCCAGTAAGTCTACCCGACATCGATCCGTCTCCGAACTCGTGCTGACTGCCACGTAGATACCTTGAGCATCATACCCAAATTCCACTCCCCTGCGTTCGGGCTTATGGTCGCGGTGCTATTTTGACAAAAAGTGGCATTGGAACTCAGATGTTTCTCATTACAGACTTCATCGAGGGTCATTCGCTGGACAGAAAGCGGCTGCTTGTCGCTAAGGAGGAGCACCGACGGAACTTTTACTCTCAACTAATCGATATCCTCACTGAACTTCACGGCCTTAGGTTCCCCTCGATTGGCTCTCTAATGCCGAATCCGGATGACCCCTCTCGCCCTATCATTGGCCCTGTCATGTCTATGTCTGCCAATACACTTCGCCTTCCCCCTCCGTTAATGTTCTCATCCGCCATGGCATATATGAAATACCAGTTCAGCCTCGTATCAGGTTTCTTCTCGCCTCCAGTTCGCGATCATACCATTGAGGATATCCGACACGAAATCTTTGCTCTTCACGCCTTGAAACGTATTTTCGAGCAGCTGGTTGACCCTCAGCTTGACCATGGCCCTTTCATCTTAAACCATCAGGACTTACGAAGTCCCAACATCATCGTAGATGACGACTTAAACATCCAGGGTATAATTGACTGGGAGTTCTCGAGCACTGTTCCGCGTCCAACGTTCACGCCGCCGTCTTGGATCACGGGCCATGACTCACCCGAGACGGACACACAAATCCATGCCGAGTTTTGCAGCGTCTTGAATGAGAAGGGCACCACCAACGAACTCTGTAATCAGTTGAAAAGGGAGTGGTATACTTCTGAGGATACAGATATTAAGTTTTGCGTCGCCCATATAATGCGTCGTCCTACCGATGCCACGGACATTTTCTACGACTTCCTGTGTTACAAGGTAATCAGACATTTATCTGAAGATAACCTTGATGATGTGGTTTCTGAGTTCTTCGATGAGCATCCTGAACTTACCTTGCACGCTCAACGCCAGGCACAAAGGTGTGAGCGGTATATTCAGTACTTGAAGGAAAACGGGTTGTATGAGACCGAGATAGATAAGATACTCGCCGAGTCGAAAGTATTAAAGGCAAAATACGGCTGGCAATAGTCCTCATAAATCAAACTTGTTTATCACTTTGCCAACTCCCTCTCTCGTTCCTGTAGCTCATGTATCTTCTGCCACATTCGACCAAGACTTTCTTCCTTTTTCACTCGTTTGCGCTCGTAGTCCTCCTTCTCTTCCTTCACAGACTTGGCCTGAGCCTTGGATCTTTTCCTCCTTGCACTCGAGGCACTGCCAGACATATTTTCGAGGTCCAATTGTTCAATTCTGTTGATGAACTGGATGATATCATCCAGCTCTTGTTGTTCCTTTGATACATCCGCCATTATCTCGCTAATTCGCTTTCTTATGTCGCTTAGATTATGAGCAGTGGGTTCCATAGTGGCGAAAGCGGATATGCTTTGAGATGAGTATAGCTTTGATTGCCGGAACGAATGGCAGATGTATTGGTGGTCTTGCGTTGGCGTTACTGAGCTGTCGCGACCAAGAATATTAATCTGGAACTAGTCGGCAGACCTTAAGAATAGTTGCGATCCTCGCTATGGTATATTTTGTAAATTTTATGCGCAGAAAATTATTAGACTGCTAAGCTCTGCCGACCATGGCCAGTCAGAACGAGTAGTCAGTTCCGCAGACACGCCACTCGAGATATGCCTTTTTGAGATATAAGAGGGGTAAATTGCTATGAATCTAGAATTATTGTAAGACAATCTTATCTAAGTCTTTTGCTCTAGCCATTATCTTTAGCTAATCATTTACTGATATCTTCTTTGTGGTCATGGTCAAGCTTATCAGACTGAACAACCTCGTCTCCAAATGCCCCAGCAATCTCCTCAAGGGTCAACTGATTTATTACAGGTAACCAAACCCAGTAGATAACAGTGGCGGCCAGGTTAAGCGCAATAAAGACAAAGTAGAACTTCCAGGCGATAGCCTCAAACGTATATGGCGTGATCTGGGAGAGCCAAATGTTTGTCACAGACATGGAAAATACAGCGAAGGCATTGCCATTACCACGGAGATGCTGGGGGAAGATCTTAGAGACAACGACCCATACTGTACTGTTGAAGAAGATGGCGTAGCAGGCTGAGTACAGGAAAATGAAGGCAACGCCAGCTGCGGCTCCAGCGAGATGGCTACCATCGCCGTAGAATCTGGACATGATGGTGAGGAGAACCAGAAAGGTTGTTGGAACGAGAGAACCAAGCCCTAAGATCAAGGAACCAGCTTCAACAACCATGGATATTGTAACAATTTGGTGGGAGGAGCACTTACACATTGTTCGCTTACGTGGCCGCTTATCAGGTACAAACGCCATGTTGATTATCTGGCCGATGACACCCATAAATCCATAACAGCCGCTGATCAAGAGAACTGTTCTTCCTTCGAACCCGAGGCCGGCATAGAACAAAGACTGGTAATTTTGGACCACGCCCCCTATCGGGATACTTAGATTAATAAGCCTCTGACAAAAGCAAAGCTTTTACGTACCACCAGAAAGTTTAGTCATGTTGAGGATAAAACAGGTCAGCAAGAGTCGCTTAGCGTAGCGGAGAGTAAAGAGTTCTACCCAGCTTGCACTCGTCCGTTGGGCTTGTTCCAGAGCAAGCTGCTCTCGGATTTCGAGCATTTGGCGTTGAATGAAATCCTCTCCCTTCTTGGCGTGGAGCATTGTAATCACTCTTTGTGCATCTTCGTGGCGTTCCTTTGCAACGACTCCAGGAATGTTCAGTGGGCAATTGGGCTTTACTTCTGGTAAGGTGGAATCAAATACTTACGCCACCGAGGGGAGTCGGGAAGAAAGACAGTTAAAACAAGTAAGAGAGCGGCCGGAGGAACCTGCATAGCGAGAGGGACTCTCCACTGCACATCGCCCTTGGCATATGAGCCAGCATAGCCGATCCAGTTCGCGACAAGATACCCGATACCGGTGAGTAGACCCTTGAGTGCGACTAAGTAAGCTCGGTTCTTTGGGGGTGCGAGCTCGGCAACGTAAACGGGTACAATTGTCAGTAAGGATCCAGTGGCAAGCCCGGCAATAATACGACCTGTGATCATCACCCCAACATTGACTGACGCAGTTTGGATCACAGTGCCGATGATGGCACAAAGGGTGGCAGGCATGACAAGAATCTTGCGACCCCACTTGTCCATCATGGCACCAGACGTTAGAGAGCCGATACAGTTGCCGGCATAATATGTCGATACGACGGCACCAGTGAGTTGGGGCTTAGCATCAAGCGAACCGTACATGTATGTCTTGAAGGAGTTGTGGGCGATGGTGGTCGCGATAATGCCCGTGTCAACACCATACACAAGCCTGGATAGAGGAACATGAATTGTTAGCCTGCCTTGTCCAGAGAAAGGACTGTCATCAGAAGATCACACGTACCCACCGATCGCAATGACCAGGGAAGAATAAGTGGTGATATCCATGCCCAGCATCTTGACTGTTTGACGTGGAGCGCTGTTCAAGAAAAGAGACAGGTCTTCTTTATCAGGATAATGTGCAAGTTGACGCTGATGGGTTCATGCACGCACTAGGAGCCTGGAGATTTGTGGAACTTGGGGTTGCAGATCCGGGGAAGATGATGTCTTTTATGTGTGCCGTGCCCTCAGACTGTGGGGAAGATGGATAAACTCTTTCATTCTGCATGACCCCGGATTTAGGGCGGGGTTGGATGTACATGCAGCGACGAGATATCCTCTGGTGATCTCGCTTCGGGCGTTACGACGATATTACGATTTGGAGGACTGCATCCAGACGCCTGATGCTCCGCAGAGGGAGGGAAAGATGGCTGGTATAGGGCAATGGTCGCTGGCGTGTTCTGCGTTTCGGCGGAACATCACCGCGGCGCTTGAGCCCCAATATCAATCGAACAGGACTACATCTTACCAAACAAGCCCAGAAGAGAATCATACGTCGAATAGATTAGTGTAAGCTGGTCTTTGTAGTACTGATCTCTGCCTGGGGCAGCGCTAGTGGCGCTGACGGCACTTCCTCCCCGACTGAGAACCAGAGGGAGCCACCATGGCAAGCGGATCGTGTTGGGGCAGCAGGAGATACTCCGTTCCTGAATGGGTTTACTTACAACGAGTCTCTCTATAAGTCGGATATGTGGTTTAACACACCACTGTTTGCAAATTCAGGCTGCCAGCAATACTGCGAGGATGGAGATCGTGTATAAATGGTTTATATCGACAGTAATTAATTCTAGCTCAGTTTCCATTCTCCTTTATAAGAACTAAATTGCTCTTGCTTGCTGCGTTATGTTTGCAAATATCCTTTCCTCTAAAAGCCAGCTCGAAGAAGGAGTAAAGCTCAACAAAGCTGTAAGCTAGGATGGTAGGCAACATCAAGATCCAATGCAATAGTCCTCTTACAACACCCCAAGCACCTTTGTTATAACTGCTCTTCCCGTCACAGGGAACAGGGAGACCCCAGCGGACAATAACGGAGACGACGAGCAAAAAGGCGTATTGGGTGCCTAAGAAGATGAAGCAGATGGTCGAGAACAGGGAGTTGCTGATAAAGAGTGGATCATGTTCAGTAGCCACACCGTTGACCAACTGAACAATGATAGGAGATACCACAGAGAAGATAGCACTCGCGCAGAGGACGAGGCCGTAGTAAATGAAGAAGCGCGTCGCCCAGCTGATAGACAGGTACAACCCAGGCATTCTGTAGGTCTTGACGATAAAGTAGTGAAACACCTCGCCCGCGCCAATGGTCCATCGGCGAATCTGAAGCGCCCACTCGCGTATCTCGTCAAGATAGTTGGCACCAGAGGTTGGGCCGTTGATGGAAATGATATTCAGAGGCCTGATGCGAATCTCTCGTTTTGTCATGATGGTGTAGCGTATCAAGGCAATGATATCCTCCATCTGGTAGGCTGGATGAGTGAAAGCACCCTCCTCGAGTAACTTGACGCTAAGGGAGTAGTGGGACATGGGATTGATGTTCCAAGGTATCAATACACCCATGAAGAAAAAGGTTCGCAAAACGCCGGTGATATCGACGAAGAATGGCATAGAGTCGCGTTTGTAGATGATGATGGACTGCCAGATAGAGGAATGGCGGTCTGCAGAATCGAGTTTCAGGTACTCAGTTTCAAGCTCCAGCATGTATTCCGGATCGAAGACGGCATCACAGTCGCAGTTCGTAAAGATATGCTCATGTTTTTCGTAGTTGTACTCAACATCTTGACGGAGAATCTGTAGGCCCTGGCGACAAGCATAGTTCATGTTGGAACACTTGCCGCTGATTTCACCAGGAATATCCGAGGGATGGAAGGTAACGATCAGACGGAGGAACTTGCTCTCGTACTTTGCGTAGACCTCATCGCGTTTAGATTCCTTGTCAGGTGTGCGGCATTCCATGCCAATGATAACAGAGAGACGGGATTTGGCATCCTGTTGCTCCACGAGTGAGTCCAAGGTGGTTTGCAGCACACTCATAGGCTCTTTGTACAGGGTCATGGCAACTATGTGACGGATGTTTGTGGAGCAGCTGGCAGTTGCGTCAGAGGCTTCAACATCTTGGGCTTTTGCAAGCCTGCGTTTGTGCCGGCTGTTGATGGCTATTGTTCGACGAATGGCGCAGATAGTGGCTATTAACCAGACAAGTTGGAAGAGACCAATGATGATGATGATAAAGATGTTGGTCACTTGATTGACATAAGGAGTAAAGGGCATCCATATCGGAAAGATGAGAAAGGTAAAGATGATAACGAGAAATAAAAGGTTCCAGCGGACATACCGATTGGCTGCTTCCAGTTTCGCAGCATCAATGCCAGTGTCTAGACTGTTACGCGATGAAGATGGTGATGATGAATCCATTTTTGGAGAAGTTGTCCTGGCAGATTCATCAGTATCACCGCGGGTGACGAAAGATTAAATACTAAAAATTGTTATATCTAGCTAAGTATGTTTTGAATATTTAGTCTCTCATGCTCTGCTATTCAGCTCTCTGGTAAAAAGCTATTGCTTTGTCCTAGCTATATTTAACGAGAAGATTTTTCAGCTATCGTTGCAAACAGTCAATAAAAATCCGCAGCCCTCATTGCCAAGGGCAAACTTGTTGAGTTAGTGAATTAAGCGTGCCTGTACTGGTAAGCCCATTCAGCTGTGGCGCGTTAGAGTCAATAAAAGCCCACAGGGCGCAGCGCCAGGGGTAGATAGGGTAAGGCGCACGATAAGCATCAGCTCTCAACGAGCCTTAGGGAGCAAGAAAACGCCAAACCTTGACATAAGGTGCCAGAATAAACTTAATAAAGATCCCAGTAAGCTTAGGCTTGATTTACCTAAATAAATTTATCCGTTAGGGTCAAGGTCCTGAGTTTTCTTTCCTCCCCTTGACGAGCATCCACCCTAACTAAATGACACGTTGACAAGCCAAGCGAGGAGCTGGATCGACGATTTAGCGTCTTGAGAGCAACGGACCCCATCCAGTCGGGTCCTACACCGCCACTTATTCAAAGTTTGACAAGAGCCAATTAGCAGGCGTGCTTGAGAGCATGTTCTACGTCAATGGTAGCAAACAAATGAATTTCTCGCAACTCGACTACAGAGCTTTCTATAATACGCTATCTTAAGCCTTTACCTGTTTCCTCCAGATAGCCAAAACATCCTTACATAAAGCAAGTAAAGGAGTATTCAAAGACATGACCTTCAAAACAGACACCTCCACGCCAACCTGCTGCATAAACCACTCTCTAACCCTGACAGCCACGAGCGAATCAATGCCAATGCTAGCAACAGGGACATCGGTGTCAAGCTCCTCGGGCTTCATATGCAGCATTCCACACAATGCCGACGTAAAGCCATCAAGCAGCAGTTCGAGACAAACATCTGGATCAGCGACAAATGAAGCAAGCTGGACTTTCAGAGATGCATTACTGCCTTCTTTCTCTGTAACATCGTCACTGTCGTCTTCGGCCTGGAGGTAATGCCACAAGCGCGGTTGTTCTCGCCAAGTGTAGGTCCGGATATCACCACGAATACCGGTAATGAGATCATGCCGGTCGCCCGCGCTAACCTCAGCCAACATATCGTGTAGATCCGTCTCACTGACAGGAGACATAAGCCAATACAATGATTCTTCAAGCATTTTGCGTTTCTCATGTCGTTGAACATAGCCCAGTCCGCTGACACCTCCGATGTGGACAACACAGCCGGGGTAACCACGTTGTCGCATGTTGCTAGCTGTGCCTTGCATAAACCAATTCGATGAGCCATATGCAGTCTGACCGGCATTTCCAGCCACCGCAACTGCAGAAGAAAAGAACACAACGAAGTCTAGGTCCTCGGGTTTGGTTTCTCGGTCAAGGATTGCGACAAGGTTCTGCGTTCCTCTGACCTTGGGACCCATGACAGCTGAAAAGTCCGACCACGGCTGGTCTGCAAAGAGTTGATCTCGCATAAGCATAGCGCCGTTCATGATACCGGCTACAGGGGGCATCGATGCATGAATCTCGGCCCACGCAGCCGATAATGAAGTCTCGTCGCAGATATCGATAGCCATGAAGCGTAAAGCAGCACCATAAGTTGCGGCGACATGATCTACCACTGGTTGGAGAGTAACAGGCTTACGAGATGCCAACACAACATGGCGAGCTCCGCTATCGAACATCCACAGTGCAATGGAAATGCCAAAATCACCGGCGAGGCCAAGCAGAAGATAGGTCTTCTCACTGGAGAAAATGCCATCGTGATCTGGCGGAAGAAGCTTGGCCGTGATGGTTGTCGTTGTCGTTCTGTCAAGGACGCTTGTTCGCAAGATAGATGAGGGTGATGTCTTGGAGATATGTTCGACGGGGATAACGCCTCCTTCTACTGAATTATCAGACACAAGAGTGCCACTCCTGAGATACCAGTCTACCAGGTCAACAAACATGGCCTTACTGAGCCCGTTGAAGACAACTCCATCGAAACTGTTCAATGACAAAACTGGCAGCTCAATGCGGAGGCTGGGCCAACTGTTGCGAACCAAGTCGACCAAGTTATGACCTTGTTGCGAATCGTCCAAGCAAACCAATGCCGCAATGTTTTTCGGCTTCACTAGAACGAGGTCACCCTTGGTAGTGAAAGGATGGAGGAACTTGGAGTTCCCCTTGACTAGCTCGCGGTCGGATGTTGTGTTGAACAACTGGATATCATCACGTCGCGACGCCGCCAGATCCAGCTCTTTTTCCAGCCAGGCAGGGGCACCATGAATCCAAACGTGACCCGAAACATTACGAAGAGTAGCCTCTGCAAGTGTCGACGTTATCAGGCGTTGAAGCTGATGATGGTACTCGGCACCCCCATTGTCTTTCTCGTATTGCCAAAGAATCTCAAACGAGTCTTTGTCTAGGAGTGTGAGTGATGCTTCGCCTGCCACATTCCTCGAGATGCAGAGCTGCCTCAGATTCTCTTCACCTTGAAAACGGAAGCCATGTACAGAC